ATTCAGATGCAAAGTTGGAATTTTCTCTAATTAGCATTTCTTTTGTGTAATTATATTTCCTCGATCGAACTTTACCCTCTAACGCAAGGCGAACAAGGTAATCCTCTTTTTCAATGATATGTCATATGTATTGCATCGATGCACTGGCATCGATTTATAAATAGAAATTGCATATTATTATATCGTCTTGACTTTCTCATTTCCGATATATTTCATCCCGCTATTGTATAACTTCTTAATAATTTTCGTAATTCGAGGAAACCTGTTCGCGATGCAAATTACTGTAATGAAAAACGGTATCATTGTACAGTTTATTACGCGGCGTTTCTTCAATCGGTTTCTCAATTCTCGTGATGCAAGAAGTGTGAGGAAAAACATACACGAACGATTAGATGTCTAAACACAATTCCTAGATTTACATAAGACTGAAAAATGAAGTGTCGATCAATCTCGACCTTCGTTGCAATACGTGTTAAAAATGAAAGATAATACAAAAGATGTTCAAAGTCGTATAATTTAATTCTGTGAAGCTGAGATTCTATTTTTTATACTTGCCAGAAATTTTCATCGAACTCCAAAGTCGTTCACCTTTGCGTTATCAAGTAGTTATCATCACTTCCTTAAAGATCTGTTCATGTTATTCAACAAGTGTCAAATAACGATTAGATATCTAAAAACAATTCTCAGAATTGCATAACACTGAAGAATGAAGTATCGATCAATCTCAAAGTTCGTTCCAATAAATATTACCCATTTAAAAAAACATAACGATTTATTATTATTTAATTAATAAAATCAGTTTGCCAGACAGAAATTTTTATCAAACTCTCAGATTATTTATTTTTATTATTTAATACCAATCATCACTTCCGTGAAGCTAGATTAGGTCAATCAAAATTGACAAGTTATCAATAAATAAACAATTGTCTGTGATAAAATAAGATTACAATACTTCTTCATATTTTATTAGCAATTCCTACAATCATTTGCATTTTTTTATCTAATATCTATATTTGTATCGATACAGTTTCTGATTGTATCTTTCAGGTCTCGATGGATTCGGGATAGGATTATTAAGCTGCGGAGCTCTGCTCTCGACGTTGACACTTTACTTCGCGGTAGACGCCTGTCACAATGTATTTTATCAAAAGGAAACCAGGTTCTACAGGAGCAACAGCATCATGATCCTCGCCGTCTATCCCGTGGCGAGCGTGTGCAGCCTCACAGCAATGGGCATCCCAAGGTAGTCGAGTTCGCGTGATCCTGCCCTTCACCTTTTCAAGGCAACAAGAACAATGCGAACCAAATTGCACACTGATTGCCCATATAAATTTTTAAACGCCCCCAGCATCCAATATTCGTTTTGTTACTCTGGCTAAAATCAAATTCAGGAACGTTCGAATTTGAGGATGGTCAAAATTCTTTCGAAACACGACCGAGGGTCGACGCGACGGTGAAACAAACCAGAAAATCCACTTAAGAACCCGAGGAGAGAAAACGGAAACGCGATCGAATGTCGTTTCGAGACAAAAGGCAGTTTGCGACAGTTTCTAACGGCTGGACCCGTGTTAATGATCCTGATTTACCGAGATAATCCAGGCCCCCGTGTCACACCTGCACGTCCTCAAAGTTTGATGAGTCCCTTCGATAATATTAACAAGACGTGAAAATTCCATAGACACCAGCGTTCTAAAACCATTTTTCATTCTTAAATTCTCAACGATTTCGTATACTGTCATTGGAAATTTTAAATAGACGTAAAGTCATTTGCTTAAGGATGTATATAGGCTACATACTTAAATAATGCTAGCATGTTGAATTTGTAATTATAGATTCCTATTAATATTAAAAAGCTACCTGCAAAATTTTAAATCAATTCATGCCTTTTTTGAAAAATTATAGTGACTTATTTGCATGTATTCTTATGGTAATCAGCAGTAACCCAACGAAAACTTGTGCACGTGCAACTGGCATTGACGAAATTCGACCGTCGAATCCAGCGAACTTTGGACAATACTTTTCCTTTTTCGTCAATAACTCCCGAACGGATGGACGTAGAGGGACACATTTAAGACTATTTTGTAGGGGGCGACGAGATCTGCGATTTCTGTGCAAAAAGAATTCGCTAGTGCCAATAGTTAACGAGTTATTTGCAAAAAATTGTTTTTCCGTTTTTTGCCAATAACTTCCAAACGGATGGACGTAGGAGGACGCTTATAGGCACATTTTGTAGGGGACCACGAGATCTACAATTCGTATATAATAGTTTTGCGCTAGCATCAATAGTTTACGAGTAAATTGCAAAAAACAGTTTTTCGTTTTTCGTCTATAACACGGTAACCATTGACACTAGCGAATTCTTTTTGCACAGAAATTGTAGATCTCGTCGTCCCCTACAGAATGGTTCTAAATACGCCCCCCTACGTCGATCCGTTCGGGAGTTATTGAGGAAAAACGAAAAGTCTTTTTAAAAGTTCGCTATTTCGACGGGCGAATTGAAGAATCTGAAGGCGAACATTGACGAAATTCGCCCGTCGAATCCAGCGAACTTTGGACAATACTTTTCCTTTTTCCTCAATAACTCCCGAACGAATGGACGTAGAGGGACGTATTTAGAACCATTTTGTAGGGGATGACGAAAGCTACAATTTCTGCACAAAAAGATTTCGCTAGTGCCAATACTTAACGAGTTATTTGCAAAAAACTGTTTTTTCGTTTTTCGCCAATAACTTCCAAACGGATGGTCTTAGAGAGTCGTGTATGGGACGACTTTATAGAGGACGACGAGATCTACAATCTCTATATAACAGTTTCTCGCTATCATCAATAGTTAACGAGCTATTTGCAAAAAACGAAAAACAGTTTTTGGCAAATTACTCGTAAACTGTTGGTGCTAGCGAGAAACTTTTATATAGGGATTGTAGATCTCGTCGTCCTCTACAAAATGGATCTAAGTACGTATCCCTACATCCATCCGTTCGGGAGTTATTCACGAAAAACGAAATTGATGTCAAAAGTTCGCTGATTTGACGGTGAAATGGTCGAGTTTCGTCAATGCCAATAAAATGCCATATAATCATATTTAGTTCGTTATATATTGAAATTAGAAGAGAAATTCAGAGAATTTTTCTCTTAGAAGACGACAGTGCCCACAATAAAAAATTTTTCGCCGGCGTCAATAATTAATTGGATATTTCCTTCTATACTTTTTAGCACATAGCGATTTATTATTAGTATTGTTCTTCCGACGTCTGATTTCTTTTTAGTTATGGGAAATGCGTGTTTCCAAAGTACATAAACTTTTGGGATTGTCTGTATAGCCAATACATCCTTAACCCGTCAGAAATAAAACGTGAACGCGTAAAACAGAGATTATTATTCCAAGTATTTGAGATAATAAAAAATGGGTTAAAGAAACTGAGTTATATTAGCAGACGAGCGATAAGACAACAATTTTGTAACGCAGAGTCTTTTTCATAGGTCCCAATTATTGTCAGAGGCGGTGACTCAAATATTTCTAACGATAGCTTTATATCGATTGTATCTGCTGCTGATTCACGTCGGTCAGAAGGTCACGGGTTCACTGCCGCTGTTGCTACGGGTCGGGCCCTGTTGCTGCTGGCCCTGTCTGCCCTTTCCAGAAATTCAGATGACCGAGGATACTCTGTCCTGGGTACGACTGCTGGTCCTGCAACTTCCTATTATCCAGGTATTTCTACTTTTTTGCACACGACCGTTTCCGAGTAAACCGCGTTTTTTTGCTCGTTAAAAACGAGTCTTAACGACGAAATCTTACATTGACAAGATTATGCCGGCTAATTGCAGGGGCTGACTTATTGCATATTCCTGCTCATGTCGATCGAGGACCCGGGCCTGATGCAGCAATACGGCGTTTGTCTGCAACCGTTCGCAGTGACCAGCATACTTTTAGGAATATACGGCCTCACCATTATCACGAAGAGCCTGCAACAAGCTGCCCCAGGTAAAAATCGCGGTTAATCGAGAGGAAGGATAGCAGCCGCGCGTTGCCCTCCGCTGCCTCGCGATTATCAAATTTTTTGCGATACACCCGAATTACTTCAATTTCCTCTGTAAAATGGAAACGTAGAACTTGATCCTCTCGTAAGAAAGACATTAGCTTAGCTCGATCGGGAAGGCGGTTTAATTATCCTACGGACGGACCACACAAGTTACGAGCCGCAGGAAGCAATTTCCCCGGAAAGCCCTATTGTCCACGGGTTTTTAATACGTTTCTGACCTGCTGTCGATTTCGCAGAGCTGAAGCTTCACCGTAAAACTGCGGTGTCACAGTTGATGCTGCTGTTCTCCAAACTGCAAGCGTTCATCATAAAGAGTTTACCGCAGACGGGACTGTTCCCATGCAACCCGCCGATCACGCCGCAAATCTACGCCAATGGTAATCTCATATTTCTAAGAAAAAGAAAAAATAATATCCCACCTCCGGACACGGAGTGTTCTCTCTCTCTCTCTCTCTCTCTCTCTCTCTTTCCTTTAAGCTCTACATTGGAACAATGAAGCGGAGTCTTCGAATATGAATTCAAACGTGCTGGCCCGGGGCCATAACATTTCCATACGCGTCCGCAGATAAAGGAACGAGCACTGTTACTTTCTTCGGCCTGATTTCAGTTACCTACAATGCCCTGATGCTAATCGAGATGCTGCTGCTCTGCTACGCGGCCAGGTACGTTTATTACGTCGACCTGGAAAGGGAGGAGGAGACCGTCGAGGCGACAGATCGGCCGAAAGACAAGACCACGGACCAGCCGGCCACGGCGAATAACAACGAGGCCAACAGGCAACCGTCATCGTTGACCGTGTGAGATCCTTCGGAGCTTCCTTGCATGGCTGTCTCTCGTGAATAAGAACAGTATCGTTCTTTTTCGGATTTTATATTACGTACAATCAGTCGAAAATTACAGTATTTCTTTTAAGAGGGTGCAATTTATATTATGTACATACTGTGAAAAGGTGAATTTCTTATTTCGTTATTTTTATGGATTTTCTGTTCCTTGTTTATTAGGAATTAAATATGCAAGAATTTACAGAAAGTCAGAAATTAAATAGGGAAAAGAAATTTTTTACTTATTATATTATAATAGTAATTATTAGAATTTTGTGTTATTGGGCTATTAAACATTTTTGACTGACTGTATTCAAGCTAGTATTTAAGACTGGAGTGAATGAGAACTGATTAGTAAATAATGCAAATGTTACCTGTAAGTAATTATAGTATTAAAAACTTGATAGGATTTTAATAAAAGTGTAGAGAAGAATACGTTTAAAATTGTTCTTTTAAATTGCGCTTCTAATTGAGCCAACTGGGAACGAAAAGACCGAGGGATTTGGGACAAAAGCGATTTCTCGAGGCCTACCGCAGCCCCGGAGGTTCCGGCGTGGAAAGACGGGAGCCGGTGAGAACGAGCGTACGTGAATTCAGCAGACGTCACTATGCATTATCACGTCGGCTGACAGATCACAGTGGATGCTCGGCTAAATGACTTGCAGCCTGCAAGCTTTTACCAAAGGGCGTTCGAGTGGAGGACGAGAGGATCGTTTAGGAAAAAGTGTGGCATCGCGACGAGGAGAAGAACTTTTTGTGACATGTATAATTATCGTCAGCGCGCGTAATCATCTTAAAATAACGGAGTCCTCGTCCCGGTTTTTTTCTCGCTCTGTGGCTTAGAGACATAGCGAGGCTTCGTATTAAGGGCGACGCTCTCCTGCTGACAAAGTTTCATCCTGTGAGACGCAAAGCTGGACGTATGTATCTACACGTCGCATTAGGAAATCGATTCTAGTGTTAAGTCCCGGATTAAACGGGTCTGGGTTTTACTGCTTCAATACGTTTCTCGTCGTCTTGTTTATAAATAATTTATATTATACAGTCGGTATATGTCGAGTGTACACGTATTATTGACACACGTGCAGCTGCAAGTTCTCTGAAGAATCGACGGTAGCCAACGAGCGTGTTAAGTAAAAAAATCAACAGTAAAGACGTGTAGGATCGCGACGGTATTCAGTCTAGACACGTACATACACAATTTCGTTCATTCAAAAAATTGTTCATATTACAAAACGTGTCTCTTAGAAGATTTTATTGTTATAATCAATAGAGAGTTTCGGGGTCTCGTCAGAAACGAGTAAACTGTTCCGGGCAGATGTCGAGGTGGTGCATGACTTCACCTTTTCATCGCTGGCAAATAATCGTGACGATCCGATGGATTTCGACACGATCGCTGGAGGCTGTCAGGAAAGGCGGGCTTGAATTCCTGCCGATCAAACACCGCGAACACCATCCCTCGGAGGCGCTCGTCGATCAATGTTTTGCGAACCTCAATATTGAAACAACGTATCGTCACGCCGAATTGACGATTCATCCGAGACGATTCGTCGAGCGAACGTGCGCGTGGAAATTTTTAAAGAACCGTCCCGTTTCGAAGTAAAAAATGGGACGAGGAGGGGCGAAACAAAGCTGGAAATCCGAAGACGCCTCCGCGTAGCGGCGACGACGCGTCGGCAAGAATTATCACCGGGGCGCATCAGGAAGTGTCCTCTTACAACCCGATTTTTCACGTTCCACGTTTCCACCTCGGACGATCGATCGTCACCAGGGTGGTACACGAGCTTTTTGGGAGCTAGGGTAGAGGGATATTAATATTCCGATAACGTGCCCGGACGTATTAAACCGTCTTTGTCTCCTCCTTGCCGAGATGTACGTCTTCGAGATAAGAACTTCCACGAACACTTCCCGTCCACTTTATTATTCTTCCTCGCGATGCTCATAGTTTCGGCCTGCGCCGACCTTGCATCCATTATTACGGAACGTGGCGAGTTTCACGATGCAGAAAACCGCCGCGTCCTACACAGCCTGATAGATATTTCGATAATAAAAACACGTGAGATGTTTTTTTCACAAAACTCTGATAATAATAGATTCGAGAAATTAATTAAGACCACGAGTAATCTTAATGGCTGGTCGAAATGTTCGGAGTTGCTTTTTAAGTGAAGATAGGATTAGAGAGGTTTATCTAAAATGTCTACGTCTCCATTGACTCAGTTCTGATTGCTCCGGCAGGTTCCACGGCCTACAATCATCCACGGGCAAAAACGATAACAGCTAATGACGGGACGAAATCATTAGAATCGGTCGGAGTAATCGCGATTTCCATCCACGAGTCCCTTTCTTGTGGCCCGCCGGACCGGCCGACCGGGCCATAGAGCGAGAGGACACCGTAAACGGGTTCGTAGGAACGTTATACGCCGCTCTCAAAGTATATTGCGTGCCCCCTCATTTTTTGACCGATTCCAGGGTCTGCCTACCTGCAACCTGGCCCATCGAGCCTACAGAACCCTCGCCCCCTTCTCTCTCTCTCTCACTCACTCATGCTTGTCCCTTTCATCTGCCACTTCTATCTGTCAGGCCTCGCCTCTCTTTTCATCGCAGACCTTTTCCAAGTAACCGTGATCACGATCGAGCCTCGAACGCGTAATAGATTTAACAGTTTCTTTCGTAGCCGCGGGATCGGTTTAAGGGATGAGAAAAAAGATCTGAGCCTCGCATGCATCCCCGATTGTGTGAAACACGTCCTTTACGCTCGTTACGTCCGTCTGCTTCTTTTCAAGCCTCACCTTTTCAAACCTCTTCGTGCTTCGTCGTGCATTTCATCGCATTCATACGTTTGTAATCATTTATTTAACCGGAACATTAAACGCGACCTTTTTCTGACTCTGCTCCTGCGTTATTTTGTAGAATACAGATAATGAGTGGTCGAGGTTGATTATATTTTTTCTGACTACTTAAGAGGAAATTGCTTCTAAGTAGGGGCATTAAAGGGTGATTCGGGAATCGCAGCGATATCGACATTGTCGATTGGTAATCTTCGTTGGAACTAATTAAGGGACTCGAACCCGCGCCGTCCCGCTTGTTTTCTATCCGGTGCTCCTCTCGGCTAGATAGCCTTCGGGTCGTTTTTTGGGGATGGGATAGAAAAAAGAACGACACAGAGATACTTTCGTTCTAATAAGCGTACTTTGAACGCAATTATATTTCTTTCTTTATGATTTATAATCTTTATTTATGATTTATAATAAACAGCTTGGTTGAATATTTTTTTCTAATATTTTAATACAGAGAATTCTTTGGAACGAAAGTAAGATCTATGCTATTGTCGGCTGACGAATCTAATTTGTTAGATACACAGGGGACCTGTACAATTGATATGATTTATAATAAATAACTTGGTTGAATATCTTTTTCTAATATTTTAATACAGAGAATTCTTTGGAACGAAAGTAAGATCTATGCTATTGTCGGCTGACGAATCTAATTTGTTAGATACACACGGGACCTGTACAATTCTCACCTGGAGGCTCGAAGCCAACAGGTCTAATTTCCTCGGAACACACTCCGGCGTAACAATGCAGCATTGTGTTTGCCGAGGGTGCAAACGGGAGAACCCGTAGGATCATCACGTGAGGAGAATTCGTTCGTTTCCTCTATCTCGCCGGCTTAGCGCCCGACGGACCCTAAAATTCCCATAAACACTTGCAATAAAAAGGAATTCCTCTCGAGTCACTCGGAAATATCACGTCTACCTCCGCCTTGGTCGCGTTTAATGGCCCGTAATTGCTACTTTGGCTAACAAAAAATTGTCGCTGCCACCGCTGGCTCGGGGCTCACAGGATTTCTCTATGCCAGCGTTCTGTCGGTGGATCAGCTGCAAGGAAAGTTGGAGGATTTCCAGATCCTATAGACGCGTGGCCATCTGTGGCGTGCGCGAGAAATCGGAAAACGCATTTCGAGGATCGCCGACATATGGCACGCGGGCCGAACTTATCTCGAGGAAAAAATACTGTAGGCGCGGTCTCGGATACGCTGCGGAGGTGGGCACCAGGCGGCTGTCTTCTTATCCTGACCCGGCGATGGATTCAAGCGGAAATTAACCTTCCTCTTATTATGATCTAGCGTTTACCTCGATGGACCAGTTGCTCGACGTGGCCACAATTTGCTTTATATTAAAATCATAACAGATGGTGCAATCTTCTTTAAATAATGGTAGAACTTAAGTACAGGATTCTGGAATTATTCGATCAGCAAACTATGCATCTTTGAATAACGTGATGTCAATTTAGATAGTCAAATACATATTAAAGTATTTGCAATTTTTCTATAAACGAATGCGGTTCATCTTTATTTCATTTTGCCTCTCATGAACCCGAAACTTCCCTCGCGCAAGAACTATTCTGTTAGGGTGTTCGGGGGAACCATATCCATCATTCGGTATAATAGTTTCGATCTCCCTCCATGAAGTAATCGATCATGCGAAGCACCACAGGACGGTTCGAGCTGCGTACTCTAATCAATAGAAACTGGTTCTGCTGGATTCCCACCGTATCATAATCGTATCAATCATTAATTAGGTGAATCCATTTTCTCATTTCGTGTAGGATAAATTAATCAAGGATACAAGTTAATGCAGCGGAAATTGTTTATTATACGATGATAAGATATTCATGTTTAATTTAAAAAAAAATATAGAAATTATAGAATAAAATAGAAAAAAATAGAAAATATATAGAATATATAGAATAATATAGAAAAAAATATTTTTATTTATTATTATAGTTTGGTATCCCGAGTTGACCGAGTTTCTAGGAGTGAGAAGATTGAAAGGTGCAGATCTATCATCCGGAAGAGAGCTGAGGCGTCGGTGTAGGTCAAAGTGGCTGTGAATTTTCGCCTCTATTCTCGGCCGGGGCTGTTCTACCACGCGACCATATGGTCGCCGACGGCCCATTATTTTCTACGGGATCCTCGGCACGAAAATGGAAGGCATGGGCCCACCACGAAATTACTTGAAAATTGCTCGGCCTTCTTTGCTTCTCTCTACCCTTTTTCCAGGATCATCTCGCAATTTTAATTTGAATTTCAATGCACTGGTACCCTGCCAATCACCGCAAAACTCTCCATCGTTTATACGCGAACTCAGGCCATTAGGTTTGAACATAATTGGTTAAAACGTTATCTCAGTATTATTATTATTATTAATAGCACGTAGAAATTTACATGAGGCTTCTATTAATCTTCGCACTGCGTAATTATTTAATCACTGACCGACTGCACTTGAATATTAATTTCGTGAAAGATTTAATATTCAACTGTGGGAATCTAATTTAGAGAAATCAGGAGGACGAAACTATTAGACGATGGGAGAAACAAGAAGAATCGAACCCTTACAGCTGTCTCCCAGCCTCCGGCTTGTTTTCTCGTTTTAGGTTCTGGTTCGTCTACACATTATAAAATATGCTAAACGCCCGCGGAGCTATAGCGCCCCCACAGAGTTCCGACGCTGTTATTTACGAATTATGAATGTTGCAAGACGGAGCATAATGATCGAAACCTGGGTCAATTTTTGCCGCTTTAACCACCGTGTCCCTAATTCGGCCCTCGAGATTGCCCTAGGAATTCTTAGCCCCGATCGTCATCCCTCGGAATTAGTTAACCCTTTACGTTCCCAATTAAATTCTCACTGCAATTTATGTTAACTTTTATATACTTTTGTTGTAACTTTTATATATTTTTTTATATACTATGATATACTTTTTTATTTTAATGAAAACTCATAAAAAAGATATTACTTAATTATTTGTTGTAATCCCTTGGGATATTTTAGACGCGTTCGCTTATTACCGGGAATAAGTGCACCTCTGCGGGGAGGCAGCATCGTTTCGTACCGACGAGCAATCAAGAGGCGTGGATGCTCGCGACGCCGTTTTTGCGGGTTTCGCGTGCTTTTTACGAGGCACCATAGCGAAACTCTCCTTTCGACGGCAATTACCGTGGCCCGGGACGAACAACGCGCCTGCGGTTGTTCCGGCCGCGGCGGCGGCGCGACGCGAACGAGAGGGGGCCCGGTTGAACCACGCACGGGACCCATTGAAAACCGAACGAGCGCCAAACGAACACGGCCGGGACGACCACGTGCATGCGAGATTATCGGACGATATTCTTTCCGTGGGCCATTGTGCCACGGCAAAAAGTGACCGCAGGATGCACCGGCTACGCGACAAAAAAGAATTAATGCCGGCCGACGGAGAGGACGCAAGAAACCCACTTGGAATTTCGTACCGTTCCTCTCCCGTGAAATCACCGCTCCCAACGAATTTCACTAAGCCCTGCTAAGTCTAATATNCTGTTATAATTTTATTAATTGAATAAGATCGATGTAATTAATGAGTCGAGTTATTTCTAATGACACGGAAGAATTTCGTAGACGAAGCGGGTGAAAGAAATGAATTGAGAATGGAAAGTTCTAAAGCGAATCTCAGCAGGCGAGACAGTGGATGGTACGGCGCGGTGAGGTCGAGGGTTATAAATTTCGGTTTCAAGAATTTGTCAGGGTAACATATTGGCGGATACCTAGCCCCTGGAGAGGTAAGGTAGAAGGCTAAGTGCTCAATAGCGATTCAGAGATCCTCTGGTTACCACCTGTCCTCCCGGGGGACTCGTTTGAAGGAATCTCTTCTTATTCTTTCTCCGCCGCGATGCCCAAAGCCAGCGCTAATGCCGCGCCGGCCACAATGAAAATTTGTCGCCGCCGTATTTGACGCGAGAAATGGTCTTTTCAAAAGCTTGCACGTCGGTTCGACCAACCAGAACAAACGGTCGACCTAAATTTTCTGCTCTGCCGCGTCCCACCGAGACACGAATTCCTCGCGATTTCGCGCGGTCCAGATTGAACCACGCCTGTCGTTTGTAAATTTAGTCGGAAAATTGAGAAGGGTCTCGTTAGATCCGAGCATATGGACGACAGAGACTGGAATAATATTTGAGAAAAATATTTCCCGAGCGCGTGCGAGGATTAAAACGAGGTGCATATTTTTCCAGGACAGATAAGCCCCGGCTCGGACTTCGCACCCCGACGTTTCACAATCCGATAGGCAAACTTCCTTTGTCACGTGTCACCCCTTAGAAGCTTTCGCGCCTCCGTGTATCTCATCGTCGAAGCGCTGCGTTAAGCACACAATACTACCACTGATATTTATTATCGAATAACGACGTTTTATAAGAACGTTCGTATTTTATATTCCTCCGACCGGTGAATGGAAAATCGGGTCCTTGTGGTCTCGGCGACAAAGTACGGGATAAGATCTATCCGAAACCTTGGCCATGGGTTTGATTCGAGGTGCAACTGTAAAAAAGGAAACGTCGTGGCTCGGCCCGGGACGTGCAATCTGACGGAAAATCGAGCCTCACGTAATCCCACGCGCGAGGGATTACCGGCGATAAACAATGCTCGTGAGGCCACGGATCGTGCCGGAGATGTTACTCGGCGATAGTTTCGTCGGATGGAAAAGGAGATTGGTCAGAGACCAGCAGGAATGTTAGAGACGGCCACGGATTACGGATCCTACGAAAACATCTCGCACCTACGATGTTGAAAAGTCTTGGAAACTGTTTCGCCTTTCGACGTTCCGCTCCTCCTACAAACAGGCCTGTGGTCAATCGACGAGATTTTAACTGCGAAAAACGCACTCCCCCTTTTCACGCAAAATTTTCGAATATTCTGTGTAATAAAAAAAAAAGACTGACGATTTTATAGACAGGATTCATAAATTGTATTATTGTGTGAAAAGTTATATGAAATTTTTATCGATATAAACCTTCTGACGTTTTGATTGCACACATGAATCCTCCGAGGCAAACAGGATGATCCCGTGAACAGGAACGTGCATTGAATTTCCTGTAGACAGGAATACAAAAACGTTGATCATTCGGGAAGCGCGGAGATTCCCTCGGGATTCTCCCTCGATCTGTCGCCGTGTGAACGTTTCGAATGAGTTTCTGGAAACGGGCGCGACGCGTGCCACATTTATTTACCACAGGCGATTGCTCGTCTCTTTGTAATCATGAATATTTGATTCGCGATACGTGTAACGATCATACATTCCCTTGAGACGTTTTCTCATTCAAACTGTTTGCTCAATACTAAATAAGTTTCTTTTAGTGTCTGCATTGATATTTCAGTTTGATACCAGCTTTCCTTTTAATTCTTATAAGAGAATTTAGAAACATTTGACACATAGTAGATTTACTGTTAAAAAAAAAATGGTATTCATTGTATAAGAAGGAGAAAAGTTCTATTAATGCTTTTAGATTTTTAAAGCATTTCCAAGACGAATAGACGACGCCTGCTTATCCTATTAGAAGCAATTTCACGTTAGACGAAGGACAACTGGAATAGTAAAATCACGGTAGGACTATGACTGAGTCCAGGTGTGAGAGAAACCCATAGCGCACAATAAAGTGTCACTCTCTATTGAAGGGAACGATCCGTCGGCGGAGAGCGCCACCCCTAAACTGTGCCTAGATGAATGGTTCTCTTCTATTCGTGGGCCTTTTTCTATCGGGACAAACGCGGATCAGCGCGTTTCACGCGAGCGAGGGATGCAACGTTGGGCCCGTTTAACGTCATCGTATATTTCACCCCACAATCGGCTGCCAGACAAATACCCTTATTTGTACACATCCTGTGCATTGTGACGCGTATCGCGGGGCACCCAGGGAGCACGAACGACTTCCGGTGAATACGCACCGCGTCTCCTCCTTTCTCTTTTTCTTTATCGCTCGACCCGCTCTCCTCCGCCTCTTCCTCGTTCGCGTTCCTGCTTCTCGCTGCTTTTATATTCCCACTGGGTGGGTGGAACGAGATCGACGTACCTGCCGGGTGAAAACCATATTGGATCGTGCCGTACCTTTGATATCGCGCATCCCTGAATCGCGATCACCCGACACCGACTCCCTCCTCCTCCTCCTCCTACTTTTTCTTACTCCACCAGGAAGGGACATGTTTTGCTGGGCGGATGCCTGTCGGCTAATTGAGGCGAAATTTTCAGAAAACGCCTTCGCCTCGTCTGCTTCCTCTCGACCAATCCGTCTGGGAGATTATCGTCGCCCCGGAAGTATATTCTAATACTATACATGGAAAGGAAGCTTCCTTAGAAGAACCGTTCGTATAGGATTTCGTAAACGGTGTTAAGTTCTTGCGAGCATCAAACGCCCTTTGAAACTACGTATATTATACTTTCTAAGGAGATATTGCAAAGCGATTTTATCGATCGAAAGAAATTCAATTTCGTTGCAGTATTCCTTCGACTCGTTCTAGCCGGAGGATGGTTTTCAGTACCATATGCCGACGGCCATACGGCACGTGGATAATTACAGTGAAATACTACGCGGTCGTAATGCCGGGGTGGCTGTACGAGATAATATTCGCGACGACAGATTGTCTGCACGGCATGCCAGAGAAATTCGAGTCCTCACACGTGCCTTCACGAATGAACATTGTCCGAATTTCGTATAACAATTCTAACATTCCATTTAAAACAGAAACAATCTACAGTTTTCATTCTATTTAAAACAGAAATAATCTACAGTTTTTAATAAAAGTTTTAATACTTAATGCAATTTTATAAAGAAATTAAATTTTTAAGTGTGAAAAATAATCGATATTAATAATTCGATTTTATTTGTTGTTATTGATTATTTTGGAAATAGGAAAACGTTATCGGGGTTTAGCCTACTCTAGCGGTGGAATAATTCGGGCAGAAGGACGAGATGATGCGGCGTGGTCGACCATATGCCGAGGGACGGTTCCAGCCCACGGATAATTACAAGGGATGCTACGCTGCCTTCAGGGGGTAGGGGCGAGCTAAACCCGAATGGTGGGGCGGCTGGCTACATAAAGAAGGTACCGACATCCGAAGGGTCGCAGTCGGCTCGAAATTTCGGAGGTGCGGGAACTCACGTCTCTGCTCGTCTCTCGCCAACCACACGTTTACGTACACTCATCGTTCTACGCAAATGTGGACTTGATTATTTCTGTTACATTTAATTACATCGATAATCGTTTCGAGGGCAGTGGATACAAAAAAAGTGACCCAGTGAGTGATCGTATTTTCTACAAACGGGGCAGAGTGGATTTTTGTTGAACATGAAGATTTCGTGGTTCCTGTTTCTCGTCTATGCGACGGTCGTCTCGGGATTCGATCTTGGACCGATTATTAGACTCGCTCAGTGCAGGTCGCAGTGCTTGAGGAAGCATACGATCGATGGGAATTGCGATTTGTATGCGGGACATCAGGAAACCACTTGCAGCATGGTAAGAAGTGCTCCTACGTAGTCCATTCAACGCTCACGTTGCTTTCGCTATAAATACTACATTACATGACTTATATTAAAAAATCTGATAAAAATCGAAGTCTCTTGAGTTCCAGAAATAAATTGAATACGAAAGCAAGGTGAGCGTTCACGTTTCCCTCCAGCGTTTGAAATGGGAACCGGCTGAGATTCATCACTCGTGACCCTCTTTCCCACTCGAAATCGCCCGAGAGCACGTCCTGTCCTAGAATTCCCCGGGAAAATCAACAGTCCCTCTTCCCTCTGGTCTATAAACAATCGTGTCTCGGAAATAACCGGGAAAATATCGCTTGTCGCCTGTTCGATCGTCCGGGAATCTGATAGGGCCGAGTTCGGCGATAAATCTCACGCGTCGGTTTTAATGGGGCGCCCGTGGAAAATCATGGTGGTCCCCGACGTGGAAGCCCTCCTCCTCGGACACGTCGCAGATGGACAGATGGGAATGACGATTAACTCACGCACAATGCGGCGGGCGCGCGTGTGCGCCCTGGGCGTTGCTCATTTCGTGTGTACCGGAGGGGGTGTCCATTAATTTCGGAGAAATCGATGCCGTACACCCACGGGCGATCGCCCCGTGAATAGAAAGACGCGTGTCGCGTAAATAAATATGCGCGCGCGTACGCTCGAGTCGTTAACGGCGATGATCCATTGAAATTTATGCAAGGAAGGAGAAGAAGGAGAGAACTCGGGAATGAGGGAACACCCTGGGACGCATTAGAATATTCTTTGGAGTAGGCGGTTTAACGACGGCCGACCCCCTAGAGGGGGTCACGCCCGGATAATGACGATTATACCCGCGGAGGGAAAACGCTTTGAACCGCTCGCTCTTTCCATGAACGGTAATTGTTTTACTGGGTACAATCGGCTGTGAAGGGGAAGCTGGGTGATCGACCGATCGGAAACGAGGGGACAGCGTTTTAAATTGCCGTCAGCTCGAGTTCGATGCACCGAAATTGCGTTGCGGTCCGTCTTTGATCGTACCCGGTAGACGGAATTTTTTCTGATGGCTCCGTTCAAAGCGGGATCAGCCGCGCGGAAGATTCGGTGAATAGGAAATTTCGTTAAAAAATATCGACCGGACGTCGTGGAATATTTTTAATTAAATAGAACCCAGGCGTCGAGAGGTCCATCAAATTTTATCGAACGTTGATCGGGTCGTTATCGAGTCACAGCTCGCGGGGGTTGTAAAACCTGTGTCCCCTCGTTGCAGAGAATCAATGATCAAAGTGAAATAAACGACGTCAAAAAGGGTAGCACGGATGCTATCGGAATATCGATCCATGTTATATCATATCGAAATAATCAAACCCTTTTATTCTATATAAAACAGTTCAGTTCTATTTTTATGAAAGCTGAGAAAATAATCGCAAATCATTGGCCGACGCCGGTTTTTCGGGGGCGTCATTAGCGCGGAAGGAGGCGAGCCACGGTTTCTACGAACCAGCCAGACTTAGAACAGACGCATCACGACGAAGGATAATCGGGGTGTGGGGGTATAGCGAAGGGGTCCCTCCGAGAGAAGTAAAAGGGGTAAAAAAAAGGGAATCTGGAAACACAGGGCTCCACGAGACGACGGTACCCCAATAAATATGAAGACAACAACGACGGTGCCTGTTATGCCTGAAACAGGTTGGAGCTAATTCGGTTCCCCTCTCCCTTTCTCTTTTTCTTCCTCGGCCGGCACCCCCTCCGTCCACCCTCCGCTCCACGGCCCGGTTAAATCGCTCGATTCAACGCAACGGTCCGGCCGATGGTTCTTATTCTCCCTTTCCACGGTCCACCGTCCCCCCATCGTGTACCATCGTTCCTTTTTAACCGTGCGTGCAAGAGCTTTTTGTTCGGGTTCTCCCCATGCCACGCTCCGCCACTCGTGTAGGTAACGTGCGCGTATGTGTAATGCTTGATATTTTTTTTTTTTTCTTTCTTCGCCGTGTTACAGTGCTGGCAGTACTGCGAGGCTCTCGAGAACCGCTGGGAGAAGACCAGGACGATTTGCGAGGGCGACCAGTATCTACATGTAAGTAAATTCACGAAGCCCTTCGAATTAGGGGAGACATGGCAAGAAGAATTAGCAAATTCAAGCTGAGCAATTAAGCGGTTTAAACATTGAAATTCAGTTTTTTTTTTCTTTTTACAAGCGAAGGAATATTCCGGTTTCCAACTTCTTCGACTTCTCAACGTTCTCGTACGGTCGATTCGTTAGAAATGTTAACCGTGTCGAACAGGCGGAAAATTCGAACCGATCAAGCGCGAGGAAAATCTGTTGCGTCGGGGTTTAACTTAGGGAATTTCAAAGCCAAGGAAAGAAAGAATAGGAGAAATGGGCTCACGGTTAAAACTGGGTTCCGTCGCGAGGATCTACGGGCCGAGGAAATCCTTAGAAATAGCTACCTGTCGATTTTCACGGAAGATCGAACCGCCTTGTAACGTTCGAGTTTAAACTTTGTGTGTCGACCACCCTCGATACGGATCTCTTTCAAATATTTGGGGACTACTGCGTTACGTAGAATATTCTAAATTCAATAGATTTCAACAGGATTTTTTCCTTACATAAAAATAATGATTAAGAAAAAATAAAAATTGGTATTAAAGAATATTTATGAACACGAAATATTCTGCTTTATACAATTTTAATTAAAATTATTTTTACATAAGAATAATGATTAAAAAAAAATAAAAATTGCTATTAAAGAATATTTATGAACACGAAATATTCTGCTTTATACAATTTTAATTAAAATTATTTTTGTTTCAGTGCCCGGCGTGTCAGACAGCCTGCATTTATCGGAAGACGCGAGTAGAAGAGAAATACCTGCCGTCTATGTTGCCAGCACCGAAGAAAGCTCCCATCGACTTAGATAAATTCGACGTAGCAGTGGTGATGCGGAAGGTCTTTAAACAATGGAGAGTATCCGGATATTATACCGGACATCGTACTCTAAAATTGAGACCAGACACGTGGATCGTAGTCGCGATGGAAGACGGAGTGAAGCATTACAGCTGGCAAGAATGGGTGCCAAAGTTGGAAGCTTTAAAAGAAGGCGCTTTGTACGAGGCGACGATCTCCTGGAGGGACGTCCGAGCTCAGCTTCAGAAGCAGAGGTCCTTGGAACAAGTCAGGTTCAACAATCAAGTCAGACAATTCTTCTTAGAGAAATACGGGGAGAAAGTATTGGCTGAGTGGCGGAGCCAGAAGGACTCGCAGATATCCGACGAGGTGTTCCGACGGTTCTTCTTCCGAAGGAAGGACGATCGCCCCCAGGACTTGGAAGCTGATAACACCCCGTCGACGGGCAATAACGACCGGATCGATGACTATCCGGAAAACAAGGAGTCATATGTGGTTTCCTGGGAACCGGAGACGGGAGGTCTTATGGGAAATCAAGTGACCGACTCGAATTCCGCGCAGATCTCCCTGCTACCTGGGACGAAATACCTCGTGAGGATCGCCTCGAACGACGGACCCGGCAGCTTCCCCATTGAAGTGGACACCAGGCCTGGTTCCGTTCAAGCGAAGAGGATAGAGGGAATGCACGAGGTGTATCCTTGGGAGATCTTCTACGCCGTCTGCCTTTGCGCTCTCATACTAACCACCGTCATCGGTTTCGCGAAGGCCTTCAGAAGAGGTAAAAGCATCGAGGCTGAAGACGTCTGAGAAGGACGAACGACTCTCGCTGGGAGGGATAAAAATGACGAACCGTCGTCGACATAGACGCGATCTCAGGGATACGTTCGCTCCGGCTGGAGGAAGGATAGTAATCGTCATTTTCTAGATTCCTTTCTAATCGATCCTAGCCGCGTCCGACTCGCGTAGTTCGTGACACGTGACAATCTGTAATTTGCTAAACGATGTAAAATTCTATAACTATAGATAATTAGTTCTCGGACGTAAGCAGTTGGTTTAAGCACCTAGTAAAATAGTTTCTAAATTGTGTACACGAGTTCGCGAGACTTCGTTGACGTGTATGAACGAGTGTAATAAGACAGATGGAAGAAAAACTGTACAGACTCTCGGATATTTTTCTACGTAATAGAGTTAACTAAATATTTCCTTGCTCAACGCGCAACGAACAGACTGTACCAGAGTTCCTATCCACCAAGAAAGAAGGATTGGCGCCGTTTCTAACGCCAGCATCTGTATTTATTTGTACATACTAGCTTGTAAATAAATGACACTTACGAATAAATTGCTTCGGATAAAAAATTCATCCTTACCAATTTTTCCCTTGTAAATCGCGTGGTTTATGGAGACTCCGAAACTCGCGTAAGCGCCTTAGGTTCGACCAGGACCTGAAATCCCGCTTTTGTGACGGACCACCTTGTCTACGGATAAAAATCGATCTGACGAGGGGTCCCCAAGCGTTTTCATCGAATTTAGAAAGGGTCTAGCCTCCCGTATCGAATGGATTCAGAATGGATTATAGCTTCGGCGAATTGAATATTCCAAAAATCCTATCGACCTGGTCTTTTATAAGAATTTTAAAATAGGTTTCCAAAGAATTCGGG